TTGAACATCCTCATCAAGCTCATGGCAGTCGAGTCACTCGTGTTTGCTCCCGTCTTCGCTACCCATGGTGGCCTACTGTTCAAGATATAAATTAGGAGAGGAGAGAGAAAAGTTGGTGGGTGGTCCACCAATGTTGTTGCAAATTTTTTTCATCTCATCATGCTGCGCTGCTTCTTTAAGGTATAGTAGTGTTTTAGGCAAAAATTGACTCTGGAAATTGTTCAATCCAAGGTCAAATCGGCAGGGGAAATTTTCCCATTGAGAGGGTTGACGACAGTAATATGATGATGATAAATGGTTAAATCTAGCGAAGAGCTGAAAAACCTTCATTGTTGTTACTATCATTCTTTTGCCAAGTACTAAGAACAGCTTACTGTTAAATTCTTCCCCGCTGCTGTATGCTTTTCTTCCCTGTCTCATGCCTTGTTTTTGAATCTATGCATACTTTCTTTTTTGCATGTGTTTTTTTTTTTGGTCTTCTGGCTGCAGAAACTTAGATGGTTCTGAGAAATTTCTTACCTTAAAATAGTTTAAAATTGGGTAAGCGAGATCCAATACCAGTCTATTGCTACCTCTCCCGAATGGTTCCTTTACCGTCTAGGCATTGACGAAGCAGTGTTTGCGCTTCAAGTTTCCTGTTTCTTCTTTTCCTTTCCAACCGCATTCTTATTATCATCAAAAGTAAATCTTAGAAACAGTGAAACAGAAAATCGGATCCTACCCACCGACCATTCGGCGGTCCGTAGAGGTTTTGGCTTTCCCTTTCCCTCTTGTATGTAACCTATAGATAGGCAAAGGTTCCATGGATAAAAACATTCAAGAATCCATTACCTCAAGACAATTAATCTCTCTCATTTCTCCGTTATCTTCTTCATTTTCTCTGTTCGAAGTTACGAACGAGGTTTCTTGATCATTTTCCGTAGAAATTTTCCACAATTTATGTTTTCTTTCTCTTAAACTAAATTTCTTGCTAGTTGAAATGCAAATGAAATTTGATTTGATTTGATTTAACTATATATCATCACCCAACCACCCTATATGTCTTCTTTGTGAAGCATGTGGTCATGAGTTCTACTTCCATTATAACTCCTCATGGGCTAATGAACACACACACACACACACACACACACACACACATATATATATATATATGTATATGTATAATTTAGATACCAAAATGATAGATCTCCTATTTTTAGGTTAGATAAATTGCTCATCCAATTTTCTATCTCTAGCTTTCTCCCACTAGCAAATGAATTTTTTGCTTGTTGATTCACACATCACACAACTAACCCATTTCTCCAATACATGTAAACTCTAGCACATTTTAAGAAATCATTGCCACATCACCATGCTGACGTGGTAACTTTAGTCCTCGTCACACGCTGTCGTGTAAAATTGGTGTTATAATTTCTATGATTAGTAATACTTTAAATTTTTACGTATTTAATAGTTTATAAATGTTTTTCGTGTGTACGTTTTAATTTCTCGATAAATTATGAAATAAAATTAAGTAATTATTAGTTTATGATTATTATTTAATCTCATAATTTTTAATAAATTTTTTAAAAAATAATTAGGTTATATTTTAACACTTTAAAAATATTTAAAAAATAGTTTTAACTAATTAAATAAATTAATAAATATTAATATTATTAATTAAATTAACTTATCATAATTATTTTATTAAAAACTAAATAATATTATTAAATTATAATAAATGTTAAAATTTGAGAATTAATATGATAATTTATTATTAATAAAATAATAAAGAGTTTATAAATTAAATATATATTTGCAAAATAATTCAATAATCGGCGCAAATATGTTTCCTGGCCCAAACTTTCAGAAGCCCACAGGAAGCAGCTGGTGGTGGTGGTGGTGAGTTCAGAAATCAGAAACATGTAATTGCTGTTTACTGTTGTAGTGTGAAGAAGAAGAAGAAGAAGAAGGTTCCAAGTCTACGGCATCAGACAACCAAACGTAACGGTCGCTTCTTCCATTTTCTCTTTTAAAAAAACCCTAAACTAAGCTCTCTTCTCTTCTCCTCGTTTCCCCCGCCACCGTCACCGCCACCGAGGAAGGAGGCTTCTCTTCTCTCTGTTTCCTTCCCTGCGCATGCGGGGTGGGGGGGGGGGGCAGAATGTTCTCTATCTCCCTTCTCCATTCTTCACCTCCAAAGCTTTTCCTCTCTTCTCTCTCTACTCGCTTTCCATCATTCCACTCTCTTCCTCTTATCTCCATGACTTCTTACGCTACATCCCTCCGCAGAGGATGCCTCTCCATCTCCTTTCCCCTCTCCGTCGCCGCTGATCACGTGTCCGACACGGGACCCGAACAGACGACCCGACAGACCAATTCTATGCACAATCTCAAGATTGGGATAATCGGGTTTGGGAACTACGGGCAATTCCTCGCTGAAACCCTAGTCGCTCAGGGCCATACCGTCTTAGCTCACTCCCGATCCGACCATTCCCGCGCTGCAAAAGAGCTCGGGGTTTCCTTCTTCGCTGACCCGCATGACCTCTGCGAAGAACACCCGGAAGTGATCTTGCTTAGCACCTCGATAATCTCCACCGAAGAGGTCCTTAAATCATTCCCCTTGCAGAGACTGAAGCGGAATACTCTGTTCGTTGATGTACTATCGGTGAAAGAGTTTCCCAAGAATCTGTTGCTAGATGTTTTGCCATCCGATTTCGATATAATTTGCACTCATCCCATGTTTGGACCGCAAAGCGCAAAAAAGGGATGGAATGAATTGTTTTTCGTGTATGAGAAAGTTCGGATTGGGGACGAGGAATTGAGGCTATCACGCTGCGAGAAATTTCTTGACATTTTCGAGAGAGAAGGGTGCAAAATGGTGGAAATGAGCTGTGCCGAGCACGACAAGTACGCTGCGGAATCACAGTTTATGACGCATACTGTGGGGAGGGTTCTGGAGATGTTGATGTTGGAGTCTACGCCTATTAACACCAGGGGATACGAGACTTTGTTGGATTTGGTTGAGAACACTTGTGGGGATAGCTTTGATTTGTACTATGGCTTGTTTTTGTATAATAAGAATGCATTGGAAATGATTGAGAGGCTGGATTTGGCATTCGAGGCCTTGAGGAAGCAGCTTTTTGGGCGGCTGCATGATGTTGTGAGGAAGCAGTTGTTTGGCAATGGAGACAGGGTGCAGAGTTTGCAAGAAGATTATCAGAATGGTGTTTCATTTATATCTTACTCGAGCAAAATGAGGTAAATTTTATAGCTATTGAAAATGCCTTGTTCTCCACTTCAATTGTTTGTTTATTTTGTTACTGTCTGACCTGTTTGAACGCCTTACCATGTTGTTTATTAGATGGAGCCTGAATTACCTAGAGAAGCGAAAATGTATATTTCTTTTCTAAATTTTGTAGTCTTAGCGGGTCGACTGTGCTGCAATTGAATCTCTTCTTTTCTTTGATCTTGGATGATGGTTTGGAATCTCATGGATTGAAGATATATACGGCCTTAAGCAAGTTTTTTTGCCGAGATGATGGATTAAATTATTAAAGAGACAAAGAGGTTGAAAAATATGTTTCTTTTAGTTTGAAGCCCTGAAAAGAATTCTTTTTTAGGAGAACCTGAAAAAGTATCTTTTAGCTTGCTTCTTTACTTTTCCAATTTCAGCTGAAAACATGTGATCTTCCTTGTTTTCAATCTTGTATGATAGATGAATAGTTGAACTGAAATACCTTGTAAAATTCTGTAGATAGATATAGGATTTTGGTAAGATGCCGCAACAAAGATTTTTCGGACTCACAGAAGACATTCTTTCTGATCTTACAGATCTAAAGATGCTGCTCGAGCGTACGAGTATAAAGCACAGATCTCTGGCAGTGTCAATGACAGCTCAAAGCTCAAGGTTGCCATTGTTGGATTTGGCAACTTTGGTCAGTTCCTTGCAAAGGCATTCGTTCGCCAGGGTCACAGAGTTTTAGCTTATTCTAGAACTGATTACTTTGATGTAGCTCAGGAAATGGGGGTTTCTTACTTTTCTGATGCAGATGATCTTTGCGAAGAACATCCTGAGGTGATTCTTCTTTGTACTTCAATTCTTTCAACAGAAAAAGTTCTTAGGTCTTTGCCATTCCAGAGACTGAAGAGAAGTACCCTATTTGTTGATGTACTCTCTGTGAAAGAGTTCCCAAGGAACTTATTTCTTCAAAACCTGCCAATAGATTTCGATATTCTTTGCACACATCCAATGTTTGGACCAGAAAGTGGTAAACATGGATGGAATGGCCTTCCCTTTGTTTTTGACAAGGTTAGGATTGGAAGTGATGAAGCAAGAGTTTCTCGGTGTGATAGATTTCTTGATGTTTTTGCACGAGAAGGTTGTCAAATGGTGGAGATGTCTTGTGCTGAACATGATTGGCATGCAGCAGGCTCGCAGTTTATCACACATACAACAGGAAGGATTTTGGAGAAGTTGGATTTGGAGTCAACACCAATTAACACAAGAGGATACAAGACCTTGTTGAATTTGGTGGAGAATACAGCTGGGGATAGTTTTGATCTTTACTATGGGTTATTTATGTATAATGTAAATGCAATGGAGCAACTAGAGAGGTTGGATATGGCTTTTGAGACATTGAAGAAACAACTTTTCGGGACATTGCATGGTGTTCTTCGCAAGCAATTGTTTGGAAATGCTGATGTGTTTGAAGTTGTGACAGAGAAAGCTGTCCTGCAAGAGCTATCTCAAAGTGCTTTTACAGCGGTATCTTCTTCAGGAGACTCTTGATGTTCAGAGCAAGTTCTGATTTCTTAAGCTTCTGGTAAAGTTACATGTCCACTTCTTACTTTTTGTTCTAGGTTAGTAGATTTAATTTGTTCTAGGCATGTTTAATCATTCTTGATGGTCAAGAATTCTTAAACTTCCTTTTGTATCTAGATAACAAAAAATAGAAGGGTGGCTTTGAATTTTGTGCCCATTGCTTCACTGTTAAAGGTTTAAGGCTGGTAACTGAAGTTCTGAATACATGCTTGCACAGTGTGCATTCCTTGCTTAAATAGCTTTTTACACATTGCTAGCTGCAAAGAGCCAGTTTTTAATGCTCTAATCTGTAAGTTCTCTGGAGTTTGTGCAAGTGTAAATTGCTAGCTGCAAACAGACTCTGGGCAGAATCAGCGCATGCAAGTGCATATCTCTTTTACTGTTCAATCATCTTGGAGATGGACACTAATTTTATCTTCTTCTAAGAACTGCCTGCTTAATTTTTCCTTTGAAAAATTGTTTTCTAGGAACTCCCTGCATATCTTTTTGCTATAATTTCTTCTTCTCGTTTCGTCTTCTATAGCAAAACAAAGGTCCAAAGTTTTAGTTTTTCTTTTTTTTTTTTGTCACATTTGATATCTGTGATGGTTTTTGTTATAATTCAGTGTTTGTGGTTTAGGTTTTTGTTATTTTACAACAAACTATTACTTTTAGGCTGTTTTCTCATAACATTTTGGATTTTTTCTTCTTAATTTTGATTTGTCTGGTCTTGGACTTATAACTGATACACTCTAAAAAAAACTAATAACAACTAACTATTAAACGTGTGACAGAAAAACTATAAGCATTGCATGTGAAAAAGCCAAACCATGACCATGAACTGTATTTAGTCAAAAAATAAAAAAATAAAAAAGATGATTTTCAGTTGAACTGAATGTCCTTTACTTGTTCTCTGTTATGGCCGTATCCTCTTGCATCTAAGAGATAGGTGCGACTTCGTTGCATTTTATCTGTACAATAACAACTTCATCCATCATATGTCAGTTTGATTTTTGTTTTTTTTTTTTTAAATTGTATGGTCAGTTTGATTTACCATATGCAATATGAACTTGACTGTTTTCATATATCATTTGAAGGATTTTACTTGGAGCTTGTGATGACATGCCAAGTTTATTGTTCTACTGCAATGAAATTTGGTAGGGATTGTGACACTACTGAAGTGGTACAATTCTGCTGAAGGAACACAAGGACAATGAGAAGGCCGGCCAAGATGGAAAGCACAACTAGAGAAGATGTGATTATGTGATATCAAGTGAAGTGCGGTTCTTTTTGAATTGAAAGCCTTTGCTTTTTATTCTTTGAAGCTTTCTTGTACTTATTTTCCACTAGGCTGTTGTTTATTGTATCATTTGTTTAGTTTGTAGTATCAGAACTCCATTTTTATTGATTAGAGGAGGTCCATAAAGGTTTTTTGACCCTGTTCGCCTGTGATCATTTATAGATAACTGAAAATCAATAAATTATTTGTCCATCTTCATCTATTGTCAGTGCACTTTTCTTGTGTTTTAACTTGGCATGTATGTTAGTAAATGAATTATCCGAGTTTTTCCTAACATAATTTTCAAGCAGCTGGGTCTGAATTTATGTTTGTGGTCTTCAATTGGCTCAATACTGTTCTGTCCCACTGAAGAAATTACACTGATCATACTATTTCTTTTGAAATTCAGTGTTTGAGGATCCTCTACTACTACCAGTATGATCAAGTTGATGCAAAGAATTCCAGTTATATATTGAACGTTCTTATTACCTCATGAATATTATTAAGTTAATTTTTGGCTTCAGGGAGAGTAACTGGATCCAAAAAATCTGCACTTAAAATGTGGCCATGGAGAGAAAGATAATAGATAAAACTACTTGTGTGAGGGAGAAGGAAGGACATTCTGCAACTGGAAAAGTTTAGTTTAAAATACTTGTGACAACAAGGTAGAGAACAGTTTACTATTATATAGCTGCACATCACCTTTTTTAGTTTGTTTTACTCTTAACTTAAAACCATACGATAGTGATGCAAGGCAGGGATCAGTCTAGCTATAAGGTAGAAACATGACTGAGTTTAAGACCAATGATGATAAGTAGACTGGTCCAACAACTATAACTCATTATAGGTTCTGGTACTTGGTCAATGATGTGAGATTAGTATCATTTAGTATAATTAATAGATTCCTGTCCAAAAAGAATTAATCCAACCCAGAAAAGATGCGCACCTTTTTGTTAACTTGTGTTCAGTGGCTGATTGACTGTAGCTTCCAAACTTTTGTTGAAATGTCTGGCTTTCGGTGCCTATTTATAAGAAAAGAGCAAACGATGTGAAGGCGAATCAAATTCTTGCTACTTCTATTGGTCTCTTTCCCAGCTGGTAATAGTACTAGAAATATGTATTGGCATAGTTCTTCATTGTCTTGTACAGTCTTTGCCTTGTTTCACTGATTGACTTGTCTACAAGTTCAATCAGTTTATCTGAATCAGGAACACAGAAAACGGTGAAAGAAATCCTTTCCCTGTTCAAGGTAGTTACCACCCTGTGCATTGGGCTCTTGAACGCTCCATTGCTCATTATCTGCAGGTAATATGAAGATGCAAGCACGGTATGTAAATTCTTATCTTGTGGATGATTTATGAAAGTGACCTGATTAGAAAGTCATTGCCTCTACTTGATCGGCTAAGTTAACCACAAAGGGTTGAAGGATAATTGGAGCTCGGAATTGGAGGCTTCATCACTGATCATCCTTGAGGAATTGGAGGCTTTTCACTTCTTTGTCTTGCAAGAATATTGTTGTTGCTGATCAATCTGCATGCGGTTTGAGTCTAAGAACTAAATCGGTCCTTGAACATGGAGGATGTCTACAGCTACCCATTGTAACTTCGTAAAATACTCGTGTTGGATTTCGCAATTGTTGCAGACTCTGTTCATTTACCTAGTCAATATCCATGTTTCTTAAGATTTCAATAACATGGCTCAACCTATATATATATTTGTATATATATACATGTATTTGTGTGTTTGCACACATTGCAAACATGGTTAAACTTACCTGAAAGTTTCAGGATTTTCAGGCCAGAATTTGAGCTGTCACTGGTCTTCTGGGTGAACTGTGTGATACAAACTATCAATCCAACAGACTGATGTTCTGAGAGAATCATATCCCGTCCATAGCCTTCAATAGTGCCAACTTTTCTGGAGTATTTCTGCTTCTCTTCCACTGGAAGTTAGAAAGAATTTCTTAGTAACTTGACACACTTTGTCTAGTAATTCAGCTGTTATTCCATGATCAATGACCTGAAACTCGCAGGGAAATAAATCAAAGCTTAATCAGGGTAAGGGGTTTTCAAAATATTCCGTCAGTTCTGGGATCTGATGCTACCGGGAAGTGATACTGGAAAATAATCAGGTAAATTTCACTTTTCAAATTTCCTATCGTCATACTTTAAAATTATGCATAATCTTCAGTTTTTTGCTGAATTTCAACTGGCATAAATTGATAAAATCACTTCTGGTTAGACTACATAATGCTTTGATATTGCAGAAACAAGTATGTTCATGAAGGGCTATAAAAATTAAAATAAGACCTGACAGCAACCCCATAAGGTGAGAACTGATTGAAGTTTCTCGAGCTCTTCTTGCCAGTCGATGAAGCTGATTTAAGGAGGCCAAGATCAAAAGTGGAGTCCTCATCTCTGGCTGGAAAACATCTAGCACTCCACCATCACTGCCTTTCTTCAAAGTCCTGTCAATTCTTATGTCAGTTTCGAGCAGCTCTTGCACACTTTTGGACATCAATTCTTCCTTGGGAGGAATAATCAGTTCAGCCATGTTGTTGCTGGAAGCAGCAGCCCATGATTAACTGTTAAAAAGAATATGAGAAGCTTAGCGTCACTCTGCAATTTGAAGTAGCATTAATCATTATCCTGCCATTTAAGGTCGAGTTGCTATAAAATATAAATTACTTTTCCTACAAGCATATAAAGACAAGATCATTTTGTTGACTGCCATGCCCGGAAATATCAATACCCTATTCGGATTCCTTCGACATTTACTTGAACTCGACTTTGGCATGCACTTTATGGTAGTTTCTACTTTTGTAGGAGTGTCTTTGTTATGCTATTTTAAGAACTACCTTGGGGCTTGAATTTTCTGACTTGTCATTTACTGCTCAGGATTTGAATTCACACTTTCGGAGGAAATGGTGAAAGTACTAATTATCCAATCAAATGAACGGTTTGTTCCCTGTCATACTCATTTTACATCTTAAAGACTGATAACATGTAGCTTCTTTTCCAAGGGCATGCGAGCTCTGCTTCTGAATTTACGACGAGAACTCAGTTGTCTTGCATGTCAGTTTATCAGAAAAGGGTAAGTTTAAATTACTCAAGAACTTCTGAAATTTCTCTGCATATTGCTTTTATTACCCCAGAATTGGATGTAAGTACATTTGTAAGACAAGGACATTAATCTGTCCCAGGTAAATATTTCATCAGTAGAACATTTCCCACATCTAAGGAACAAAGACAAGCGAAGTAACAATTGTGCGGATATTTATTTATATTGTAATCCATAATATTGTAGTTTCAGGTTAATCAAATTCTTGCTGCTTCTATTGGTCTCCTCCCCAGCTGGTAGTACTGGAAATATATATCAACATAGTTCTTCACTGACTTGTACAGTCTTGGCCTTGTCTCGTTTACTAGTTTCTCCACTGGTTCAATCTGTTGGTCTGAATCTGGAATGCAGAACACAGCCAGAGAAATCCTATCCTTTTCTGAGTTCGTCACTACTCTGTGAACCGGGCTCTTGAACACACCGTTACTCATTATCTGCAGACAATATATAACAAAGCAAGCAGTATATGTAATTAATCTTTCAGTTCCTGATCTATCTGGAATGAAACATGAACGAGGTTCTTCAAACACAAATTGTTGTGGATAATGATTTGTATAGCAATGAGTCCATTACCTCTACTTGATCACCCAGGTTAACCAGAATTGCTTGAGGGACAATTGGAGCTCTGAACCATTGTCCATCCTTGAAGAACTGAAGGCCTTCCACCTCTTTGTCCTGCAACAGAAAGGTGATTGCTGATGCATCATCATGCGGCTTGACACCGAGAACCAAATCAGGCCTTGGACATGGAGGATAGTAGTTAAATCTTGCATACAGTTTTGCAGTCTCTCTATTATACTGGCCTAAAAAGCAGTTTTCTTCCAAGTCCAGTGACTTTGCTAAGGCCTTCAACAGCTCATCGGCTATCAGCGCTAACTTTGTAATATAATCATGTAGAATTTCCCTGTTAGAAATCATTTACAGACTCGGATCATTTATCTAATAATAAGTTTTTGGTTCAACGAGGAATGGAAATGGAAGAATAAGTGTTCAATTTACCTGAAATTTTCAGGTTTTCCAGGCCAGAATTTGAGTTTTCTATGATCTTCAGGATGAACAGTAAGATACAATCTATCGATCCAATCAAGTGTCTGATGCTCTGAGATAATCACGTCACTTCCATAACCTTCAATGCTGCCGGCTTCTCTCGAGTATTTCTGCTTCTCCTCTCGTGGAAGTTGAAAGAATTGTTTGGTAATTTCACGCACTTTGTCCAGAAATTCAGCTGTCATTCCATGATTGATGAGCTGAAACTCAGAAACTAGCTCTTCAATACACATCCATATATATACATATATATATATATATATATCTATTGTCCGCTATTAAGTAATTCAAGAGAAATGCGGATTAATTTACGCATTAACTATATATACATATATATAGAGTGGCTACAGAAATCAAACCTGAAAACAGCCCCATGTGCTGAGAAGTGACCGAAGTTTCTCAAGCTCTTCTCCGGCAGCAGGCGAAGACGACGAAAGACGACCAAGATCGATGAGTGGAGTCACCATCTCTGGCTGAGAAACATCTAGAAATCCACCGTCACTGCCTCTATGCACGTATCTTTCGAGCTCCGAAAGTTGTTCGCCCCCTGCAATCAGCTCCTGTACAGTTTTGAACACCGGTTCCTCGTTGACTGTAGGGTTTGATTCCGCCATGTCCTCCCCGGAAGCAGCGGCCTGCGGTTAGATTGCTCAAGAAATCGCAGATGATCGGGCAAGAAATTTCTCAACTCTGTATGACTAAATTGTCGGTAGGATCTTGAAAATTTTATTTAAATAATGAGATTTATTTAAAATAAAAATAAAATAGTCTGAAAATATGGGGGGCGGGAAAATCCAAATTAATTAATTATCAACGCTTAAAAATTAATTTTTAAAAACCACTTGTTATTTTTATTTTTATTTTTATTTTTATTTTTATATGGACTTTATTATTATTATTATTATTTAATTATAATTAATTTATTAAAATTAGATAATTTATATACATATATATATATATGCATGTACAGTCTTTTAAACGAACGAAGGCATTGGCATTTGGGCTAAAGTTACCCGTTAACCGGGTTAACGTTAACGGAGCATCGAACGTGTATGAATTTAACCATTTACCCGTCCCCGTTCCGTTCCGTTATATAAATTTATTTTTAATTTTTCTCGAACTAATTACATTTTGATTAATAATTTAATTTATATTATTTGAATTTCATCTGCATAATCAAACACGTCAAATTCAACTGTACACACACACATACATATATACATATATATATATATTCATCTATATCGTAAGCCTAATGCTTACACAAATTATTCAGGCTAATTAGGACTGGCGAAATTCATGGTTCCATAGTTCTGAGCTTTGATAGTTCCATTGGTTGTGTTGTTCTGAAAGCCAATGTTACCATGGTTGATGAAGGAAGGCGACTGCTCTCTGATGAATACAGGATTTGCTCCGGTGCTGTTCCTTGAGTTTTCGTTGCGCGGTTGCGGTGGTGATCGAGGCGGTGACGAATACGAGGTTTGGTTGTGTAGCTGCGGTGGTGGTGGTGACGAATGTTCGCTTTCTTCGACTGCTTCTCTTCCTAATTCAGCACCCATTCGTAGTTAAATGCTTGTGATCTAAGTTATCAGCGAAATTTTTACCCCTATCTCTCTCTCTCGATCTCGAGAAACAATGTTGATATTTGTATATATTTATAACGTCGAGAGAAATTAAAAAATATACATATATATAAAAAGAATCGTCTCTTTACTTTTACGAGCTAGATTCGGGTTGCATATATGCCTTCTTATCATATGTGGTGAATATTAGATAAGAGGTTCGGATGGAATCCGAAAATTTAAAATATTTCATATAGATTTGATTCTTTTCTACTAAATTTAATAATCTTTTTCATTTTATATTCCTTCCTATCGACTCAACTTTTTGATAACGAAAACAATATAATGATTTAACAATTAAAATTTTTCGTATTGTATTTAAAAATCATAAATTCAAATATTTTACTAAAAACGTAGAGTTCATTACTTTATAAATATATTATGAATTGATAGTGACTCGCATATAAAATTTCGTGCAACAGAATTGAAGATTTAACTCGCTAATATTCTAGTAAAACTATAATAATCAAAATTAGTTTACTTTCAACAAGTCTGTTTTATTCTTTTAGTAAAACAAATATTTTTTATTATCAACTCAACTTTTTTATAATAATCATTAATAATATAGTAGTCTAATAGTTAAAAACTTTGTATTTTATTTAAAAATTACAAGTTTAGATTTTTTACTGACGACATCGAGCTTACCATTTTTATTAGTATATTATGAGTTAATAATGAATGTCATATAAAACTTAATTTAAAGGGATTAGAGATTTAATTCATTAGTTTGTTTGTGAAACTGCAGTAATCAAATTAAAATTAATTTTATTTAAGTTGATTATATTTTTACGTAAAAATTTAGACTTAATCATTTTTATAATAATCATTAATAATATAATGGTCTAATAGTTAAAACTTTTGTATTTTATTTAAAAATTACAAGTTCAGATTTTTTACTGACGACATCGAGCTTACTATTTTTGTTAATAAATTATGAGTTAACAATGATTGACATATAAAATTTAATTTAAAGGGACTAGAGATTTAATTCATTATTTTGTTTGCGAGACTGCAGTAATCAAGTTGAGATTAGTTTCATTTACGTTGATTATATTTTTACATAAAAATTTAGATCTAATCATTTTTATAATAATCATTAATAATATAGTGATGTAATAATTAAAATACTTGTGTTTTATTTAAAAATCACAAGTTTAAATTTTTTTATTAACGACATCGAGCTTACTATTTTTGTTTGTATATTATGAATTAACAATGATTCACATATAAAACTTAATTTAAAAGAATTAAAGATTTAATTCATTAATTTGTTCGTGAGACTGCAGTAATCAAGTTGATATTAGTTTTATTTACGTTGATTATATTTCTACATAAAAATTTAGATTTAATCATTTTTAGAATAATAAACCGAGAACATCAATTATTTTCAAATGGTATAAACATCATAAGCTTACTATGAAGTTTAGTTTTTGTTAATTAATTTCACATAAGATGAAGTATAAAATAATAAAGTTAATAATTTTTTTAAATAAATTTATTAATTAAGCGAAACATATAGATATATATATATATACACACAGAGCATTATAATTATAATTATAAATTATTGAATTCAGATACACCATTAAACCGTATGTGTAATTAATTTTTAATAAAAATATGTATCTAAAATTTGAACTAATATTATATTATTTATTATTTTAAAAACTTAATTTTATATAAAAGAATTCAATGGAGAATATGAAAGAGTTTGAAATTGAAGAAATTCACAGGTTAACGTTAATCAAAAGCTGCAGCCAAACACACACTTAATAATCCTTAATTATATATATATATATATATATATATATATATATTATTTGATGGCATACATGCAACAGACTGTATATATTTAGCTAGCCATGGAGAGTACTACACCCAGTGTGTCTCCTTTATTGATATACGTACGTAGATAGATATACACACATATATATATATAGACATAGCATGTAGATATATGTATGTGTGTCTGTGTCTGTGTGTCTGTGCGTAAGAAGGTTTGAGGGTCATTTAGAACTTGTACTGGGAGGAGGATCTCGGCCGATGTT